ATTCTCCCTCCGCGGATATTTTTCACGATAATATTTTGTAATACAAATGAAATAAGGAGATATTGTCATATTAAAGAAAAAGAAACACAATTTAACGAGCTTAAAACATAATTTATGATAAATGGTGAAGTAGCAGCGCATTAGTAAATATAATTCCGAGAAGTGATATTTTTATGAAAATAAGTAGCTCTCTCCGGAAAAAATGCTTATTAACAGTCCAACATCCGTAGCGTTGTTAGCTTTTCGTGACAATACGATTTTTAAAATACTAACAACGCCTTACAAATAAAGGAATACCTTATCTAGTAATTTATAGTATTTGATCATCCTGCAGTTATGAAAAATTCCGGAATGTCGTCATTTAAACGTACTGTCTACGTAAAAAATTTTAATAAGATTACCACAGAAAAATAACCCGAGCATTAAAATTAGATAGATAACTAACAATTTCATTCGTTCTTATTAACTTAATTCGTTTTTTATTTAACGTTAAAAATGACATCAAAATTTATTTATTGTCTTCTGGAGAGGTAAAGCTGCGTTAGTTTACTTAGTTTAGCTTTCTCCTAAATTCAAATACAGTAGAACTTCGATAAGATAAAGACCCAGGGAAACGTAAAATAATATAATTGTTGAGGTTTTTACTTGTTAAGGGTTTAAGTTTAAGCTTTAAAATTATGGATTTCCACTTTTTCCTTTAGTATAGATCCACTAACACTAATGTTTTTACATATTTGTACACTGTCTAAACCCTGTAAACAACAAGCATTTTTCTAAATTAGGAAATTCAGCAATTCTTCGTCTTTTACATAGAAGACTTTCTCCCGATTCAAATCACTTTTCACTGCTTACTGAGGTGCGATGCCCAAATTATTCGTGTAAGTTATAGAGGGTTTTTATTTTATGTAATAGAGGTTTTGGACTCCGAGGGGAAGGGAACACAAAATTTTATGAATTTATAGAGATTATTACGTTATCGAGGTTTAAGTGATCAAGGTTCTACTGTATTGACCTTTGCTTGATTAAACACAAATTTAAAGAACGTAGTACATAAACAATAAGCACATTCATTTTGATTTATTAAATGTACCCCTAACAATAATTGATTTGTCACACATTCGCGAAGTAAATTCACTAACTAATTAGCCAATTAGTGGAAAGGGGTGTTCAAATCAGTACATTTGAACATGGTGCGTAAATCGAAGTCGAGTCCTTCGTCCAAAAAACCCTACTGTGTAAATTTATTTAAAGTCCTTTAAATCGTTTTCAGAAAATCAATTACATATACATATATCTCTCTCATATGCATTTTTATATGGATAGGGTAAGGAATAGGATGAATACGTAAAATGAAACTCTATAAAATGAAGACTCAAGATTCATACAGTTATCACGACATCTTTATCACCTTTTTCCGTTTTCTGCATAGGTAATAATACATTTGAATTGTAATGTTTACTAGAATCTAATTACCCTTTGACCCGTTTATCCATAATGTTCAGCTGTGTTGTAAACTTTTACATGTAGCAGAACGGTTAAATCTTAACGGGATTCTACAAAATAGGAAATTCCATGCAAAATGTAAATTTATGTATTTACTAAAAATCGTTAATGTGCCAGTAGGTAATTTATCTACCACCTTGCAAATTTGGAATATGTAATTAATAATGGGCAATTTATCAGTGAATCTACATCAGTGCTTGCTTTAAAATTTTCTAAATATTTTTTTCAGAAATAGGAGCGTTTGATTTATTACTTCTCCTAGTGTATCTATGTAGTTTAAATACACAAAATTGTGAAACCATTTGATAGACTTATTTATCATTAATAAATACGTAAATAGAAGCGTTAACATGACTGCATTAAGTTATTGTTGATTATGTGCATTTCTCGTACTTCCGTTTTCCTGTATTTGCAGTTTGTAGTTAATCTTTTAATTAAATAATTAATTGTTTGTATAAATAGTGATAAATAGTAATGTTTATTACGTACTGTGTATTAACAAGCAATATACATCACAAGTTTCCAGTAAACACGTATTTTCGTGTTTATGTGTACCAAAAAGTTAAAGAGTAAAAATAAATACATAGAAACAGAATTTAGAGTTAAAGAAAAAGTCGAACTTCTGTAACTCGAATATTTTTACTCCCTTGATATATATATCGTTTAACATGAATTTCTCAATTTTCTTAGCTCGAATTTTTCTCTAACTAGGGATATGAGTGCTTATTTTACATTATAAAATGTCTCTTAAAATAATTAGAATTTCTATTGATTTTCTGCTGCTTGTTAGTATATTAGGCTTCTATTCATCATCATCATCATCATGACCACCATGACCGTTTGGTTGAAAATCCGGCAACCAACAATTAAAATTTCATTGGTTCAGTATTTAAACGACTTTTTGTACAAGACATAATCATTAGTTTGGGATCTTGGTAGGGTGGTATTTATTAGAAAGATCGCCCCAACGTAGATGCGAACGGGCAAAATCTCCATGCGGTGCATCTGTAATACTTCTTACTGAATGCAGTAAAAAGATACAGTGTTTACGTGCAGTTTACTAACGATCGAAACGTCTATGTATGACACACTTGAAAAAAAGTACTGTTGCTGTTTTCTTAGACATCTTCTAGATATAGTTAATTGGCCAGTTCCACATGGCACATGTAAGCATCCAGTTCGATGGTACAATGCGTTGAACTTGTTAAAATGAATTGGTTTTTGTTATTGCACACGGTCGAAGTAACTGTCCTTGTACTTGTACTTATCAGATGGCTTTCCTGCTGTAAATGGTTGACAGAATTTCTAGTATTTTAATCTGTCGCTATTCCTGGTATGTAGTAACATGAGAAATGTATTATAATTTGCACTCGATAATGTCTTAATTGTACAATACAAATCACTTATATGTGGACAAATGCTACTTATTCTGCGAATAAATGTCTGTTTTGTATTTATTTTATTTGGATCTTCCAGCTGTTCAAAAATAACAGCTATGACAGAAATGCTTAGATTGAATGATGAGGACTCGGAATTCTAATTAACTAATTAGTAGTTACCGAGGTTATTCTTTAATTTAAAAAGGTCTTAAAGGAATGCCCCTAAAAGAATGAAATTGAATTGCTGATGGTTGTATCTTTGATCTTTTTCTTTTTTCTCTCTGTCACTTCAAGCGACAATTGTAGGTATATTTAGAGAAAGAATAAAATAATTCGAAGTGGTCTGTATTCTGTCGAAACTGCCAGACGCGGATCGCGATTTCGATCTTTTTGGATCTCATCAGCGCGTCGCAGGTAATACGTAATCCTAAAATGTGGCATCGTACTACAGATGGCGTTCACCACGCCATTTGTGGTATTTTCTAAAACGCGCTGTTAAGACAGCAGGTAAAAGTTGGTCTGTGTTTTGTCGGAGCTGCCTGCGACGCGCTGATGAGATCCAAAAAGATCGAAATCGCGATCCGCGTCTGGCAGTTTCGACAGAATACAGACCACTTCGAATTATTTTATTCGATTATGATAACGTGCCTAATACGTTGAGGTTGGCTACGCGGGGATTCGTTTCAGCTAGTAGATATCCTTATATTTAAATGGACCTTGTTAGAGCATACGTAATCCTAAAATGTAGCATCGTACTGTCTTAATGGACGTAATTGTTATTTACGGCGCCAGAGGCTTACTGTTTGTCATTGCTCGAAAAAAACCAAAGATACACAACGCTGTACTTTTTTCAAAATGAATGGACAACAGAATTGATTGCAAAGGGCCCGCCACCCCCTCCATTACTTCCGCTTACGCATTTACGTCCTCCATAGCTATAGCATATACCAAGCGATAAGATACATCTTCTCAATAACTACAAAACAGTAACATTTATCATTTTACTATTTTAGATGTACTTAAAGGTTATAAAATTCGTTCATGACAAAAAACGAATAATGCTTCTTGTAAGTTATTATTAGTATTGATAATGATTCTTGTGTTAGCTTATAAAAAAAAAATATGCGTAATAACGATTCAGTTTTGTTTCAGACGTTTACCGCATGGTGCAACAGTCATTTACGAAAAGCTGGTACCGGCATCGAAAACATAGACGAAGACTTCCGAAATGGCCTTAAACTTATGCTACTGCTGGAAGTTATATCTGGGGAAACGTTACCCAAACCTGATCGGGGAAAGATGCGTTTTCACAAGATCGCCAACGTAAACAAGGCCCTGGACTTCATCGCTAGCAAGGGTGTGAAACTTGTTTCTATAGGAGCGGAAGGTAATAACTAAATTTATTTTTATATTTGGTAAATAATAATGACACACAATACATACTTATTACATACCTACGGGTTTATCTACTAATTAAGAAAAATCACTCTAATTATATAATCAACTTGTAATCAAAGCTAAGAGGGACTAAAAGTCATTTGTTTTTTTAAAACCAATTGCCAACGTTTCGCTTTAAGTTGTCGGCTTTTTCAAGGCTAGGTTTTGAAGTTAAAAAATAAACCGCTTACGTTTCGCTCTAAATTATCGGACTTTCTCAAGGCTGGTTTTTGAAGTTAATAATAATGCAAAGTTGGATTTTTTCCTTTTGGAAAGGTAGGTACATATTAGATAACAAACCAAAATAGCTCAACAGTTGTATGGATAAAAACACACAACTAATATTCACAATTAGGAATAAACAGTTGTAAAATTAAAATAATAAATAAATAAATAATTACGTGGTGACAACCCAACAATTTAATTAGTCTAATATTAATTGTGGTAGTTGTACTTTAATAACGCATTTATTAAACAGTGTAAACTAACTACACAATAATATGAGAAAACAAGTCACGTAATGCCGTTTTTGTGAAAAACTTGGTAATAAAATGTCTAACAAGGCCATGCTTTTAGTGCCCCATACTTCCAAAAGTTAATTGCTCTACTTCTCCACGATATTCGTATTATTATAGGGGAGTATTTTAATTAATTAGAGCATTATTATCGAAAATGTCCGTATCAAAATCGTAAAGCTGTAAAATTTTTATTACTCATGTAACATATGTATGCACACTTATCTGATAAAATTCGGACAAATTGTATAATATATTATATGTTTGCACGTTTTTATGATGTTGCATTACTGAAACACATACAACAACTGTTTTATGTGTTCATTAAAATTATTTCGGTCAACATTAAAATTGCAAATGGTTGTGGAGACTTGTAAGTATTTATAATGCTATGTAAGTACTTAATACATCTTTAGTAGCGGATTCGTAAATTTCCTTACGAAGGAATTCAATGCCATTTGCAGTCCTAAAAAAAGCCTCTTTTTTATCTAAATCCGTTATTGAAATTATAAGAAAACGATTAGATTTCATCTATCGTGAACAGCTGCCTAATGGACAGGAAAGCAAAATTTTGCGAATTGGCAGCTGGTGAACGCTCTCTAGTCCAAGTGAATATTAATTATTGTAAAAAGTATGCTTAATTAATATGTTACGATTTGTATAATATTTTTGTTTGATAACTATAAAATACTTCATATCAGGATCCATTTTACAGTGGGTTAAATGTAATTTATGATTTAAGTCTTGTAAATAAAAAAAAGACGTTATTAAAATAAGGCAGGTAATTTGAAGCTATTTATTAAATCTACTTATAATTTTGTGGATTACTATATCATAGAATCAATTAATTTTAACAACGAAGGTTTATTTAAAATCCTAGGCTTATTTCCTGAATACCATTTATACAGTATATTTGCTGTTTTTTTAATACAGTATCGACTTTCTGATTTTCTTTTTTTCCAAGGACTAACTATTTTGAGATTTTTTATAATTTAACTAGTGGTAATTTTATTATTTTTACAGCAAGATTTAACCAATTGGTATAATCAGAAGTATTTATATTTTCAAATACAGATACGAAATATCAGAAAAAATATTTAGAAAATTTTTTGTTTCTATAGTTAATCGGATCAGGGGTCTATAAAGTAACTGAAATCTAAAAATAGGTCAAACAGGTACAAATTTTATAGTACGGTTTAGAGAACATAAGAACCTAACGTAAAGTATGCTTGCATTTAGTAGAATAAAACCGTATTTTACTAAAGTTACCACCTTTGTTCGTTTACACAGTGTTAAGCTAAAGCCTGTCTAAAGAAGTGAATGCTTGACGAAGCGATTGTCACCGGTGGGGTAGTTTTAACTTTAATTGCCCAAATGTGGTGGTACTAATCTGGTGAAAGATAATTATTTGGTACTATTTTCCCTTTATTTTCTCATACCAGAAATTGTCGATGGAAATCTGAAAATGACATTGGGTATGATCTGGACAATTATCTTGCGTTTCGCCATCCAGGACATTTCCGTAGAAGAAATGACAGCAAAGGAGGGCTTGTTGCTATGGTGCCAACGTAAAACGGCTCCTTACAAGAATGTCAACGTTCAAAACTTCCATCTTTCGTTCAAGGACGGTTTGGCCTTTTGTGCTCTCATCCATCGTCACAGGCCTGATCTCATCGACTACAACAAACTCTCCAAGGATAATCCTTGGGAGAACTTGAACACTGCCTTCGACGTCGCCGAGAAATACCTCGACATTCCTAGGATGTTAGATCCTGACGGTAAGGAATCACAAATTCATCCCCATATTCTGGTTGAATATCCGCAAACCATTTCAAAAGCAACTTTTAAATTTAATATTACTAGCAATAGGATGGGGTACATGACATTAAAAAATATACACATACCTCGTAAAAGAGATCATAAAAGAAGTTGAGGCATATACTAATAACTGTGAAATACATAGAAAATTAAGATGAAGGAGGTTGAAATTGCTAAGACATAGTATTTCATAATCACTATGTACAGGTTGAGTAACCCAAATACACTAAAACATTTTAGTTAGACGGTGTATTTCATTTATTCAAAAATTCTTGGTGATTATCATGTTATTTCGAAACTGTCAGACGAGGATGACAATTTCGAACTGTTAGGCATCATCAGCACGCAGCAGCGTAGACAGCTTCGGTATGACACCAACAAACTATTAAACATCCTTAAGTGAGTAAATACAGACAGCGTATTTAAGGTCATCTGTAGGAATTTCCTACTTATTGTGGAATTCAATATGTTCAATAAGGCCTTTTTGTAATAAGGATATCGATTTATTAATTATTGTTTATTCATTTCATTTAATGTTTAGGAAGTTATTTAACTAATTCTGTTCATAATTTCACACGCCTGATTAAAAATTATGCATTAGGCGATATTGATATTACATTTTCACCGATATCCATAAATTTTACAAAACAGTCATGTACCCTGTTAGAGTCTGTCCACTTAGAGAAACGTACACCACGCCAAATGAACGTAAATGTTAGAAGTTATTTACGCCGCCGGAGACTAATGGGTAGGCTTTGATCAAAACATCTGATGGTAAACGACCTTCCATATTCCTAACACCAGTTTACTACCGATATTCGTTTGTGCGCATCGCTCACGCTGTACCTTTCTCTAAGTGAACGGACTATACTACAATTCGTCAGTAGCTTCAAAAAAGACAAGTTGTAGTTAATAATGGTTTTAATAGTGCTCTTGGTGTAGATTAAGGAAAACGTAATTATAGCTGATGTGTAAGTTACGAACTGTTTCCAGATTTAATCAACACTCCTAAGCCTGATGAACGTGCTATTATGACATACGTGTCCTGTTATTACCATGCTTTCCAGGGAGCACAGCAGGTATATTTAAACTGCAGTGTTGCCCGCTCGAAAATATTTTTCTGAAGTTTTTCATAAACCAACTCACCGTTTTATAATAATCAGGCATGCCTTGGATAATAAAACTAACTAATCCTTTCACACTTCATTTTTTCGATTCTTTATTCAAAAGGCAAACATTTATTCAGGTAATTGTTATTAAAAACCGTTTTCCAATATAGAATTTTTTTTTGGTAAGATATTTTCGTCACGTAACGTCACTCGAAAATTAAAAAAGATTTTTAACAAAATTGTATCCTTGTATGGTTTACATAATACAAAGACAGTTGTGCTGCACTTTTATTTTGTGTATCGCTAATTTGAAATGTAAAGGGCATGTTACATTGTTTAAGAACAAAGGTTTGACATTTTTAAAGGTCGCAACTACAAGTTTATCATGTCAAACATATAATTCATTTCCGTTAGCAATCAGTGCATAAATTTGAAGTAGTTGCTGTTTCGGATGAATTCACTTTAAGCGTGTTGATGGTAGCGGATGTTTTGCTTAAAACATTAATTAAAGTTTTGAAAGTAATTAACTGTTAACTGTACAAGAGAACAAATAAATTAGAAGAGACAAAAAAGGATGATTGTGGTAGAAATTTTTGATTCTAAATATCATCAAGAAATAATTAGTAATTCAAAATTGAAAGAATCTGTCAATATATTCGTTTTCTGAAAACCATGTGAAAGATTGAGGTTAGATTTGCTAGCTTGCTTCAATTGGTAGAACAGAAAGGGCGTTTGTTTTTTTTTTTAAGAATAATTTTAGAGAATGAAGTGAAAAAAAAGCAATAAGAAACACGGTTAGATGCATTTAGGATGTATTTTTCATGAAATATTCACAATCACTAAAACACGAATTTCAACATGGCGGCTCAAGCATGACGTAAATTTTGACGCCATTTTCGATATATCGTGTGAGTTTCCTTAAAATGAATTCTTTTGTAATAGAACCACATGTCAGAACTGATTTAACGATTAGAATTACAATTGAATTAAATACTTAAAGTGGATGATGTTTTCTAACTTTAATAGGTTAAATATTTTGAAGTAAACTAATAAAGTTCCTTTACAGTTTAAAAAAATATATAGGAATAGCTACTGATGTTTTAAAATGTGGAAGGTTGGTTTTTATTATCCAAAGTGCTTGCTTCTGCATTGCGATCTTCGATACACGCGATTGAGCCATCGAACGATCGAATTAATGCAATTTGTGACGCTACTTTTTTGCATTTTTTAACAGGAAAGCACTCGTGCTGCTCCGTTGTTTTTCTTTGTGACGATTTATATTGTATATTTTTTTTGCTTGGTGTGCGACACTACTTTGACCGCGAAATTTTAATCAAGGCGACTGCAAAATTACTTTGCCTTTTGTTTTTTTTTTCACCTTTAATCGTCATCTAACCAACCTGTTGTTGTTTGCATGCAGACTTACAGAACACCGCCATGCCAGACGAAAGAGCTGTTATGACATACATTTCGTCCTACTACCATTGCTTCTCAGGCGCCCAAAAGGTGATTACCTTTCAATTCAAAGAATTTTTTAGTTGCCTGTAGCTTTCAAATAGAAAAACTCAAAATTTATTTACTTGTGTAGTAATGTATACAATTAATTATCTAGATGATCCTATAGAAAACTAGAACAAATTAATAAAATAAAATAATAATTTAAAGATTTCATTAAAATAGGCTATGAATGCACTGTAATGTAATTTTAATGTTAGAAATTATTGCTTTACTTACTCTCAATAGACATTTTTTTATATCTTATAATTTAGCCAACAAAATTTCCTGATTTTGTTTTTTATTGCGAAGATTACATACATATTCATGTATTTTTTGAGCTTTCAGACATTAACTTCCTAATATTAACAAAGCATGNGACATCGATTTCCAGATTAACTTCCTAATATTAACAAAGCATGAATAAAAATTTTGCTTTCTTTCCTAATATTTGTTTTTTAAACAGCTTCGAGAAAATTTGTACTTTTGTAGTGGATAAATATTAAATGAATTTTCACATTAATATTAAATATTAACCGTTATTAAAAGCTTCCTAAAATATTTTGTACTTTTGGTTTATTATTCTTAAGTTTAATAAAATTTACCACCAGGAAAGTACTCATTTGTATTTGCGAAAAACAAAATAATAAAATGAAATCAAATTGTGAATAAAAAAGATTTTTTTTCATTTTTATTAAATCAATTCGTTGAGAATTGACTAGCAATTATGATACATTTTTAGGCGGAAACGGCCGCAAACAGGATTTGCAAAGTTCTCAAAGTGAACCAGGAAAATGAACGTCTTATGGAAGAATATGAACGTCTTGCCAGTGACGTAAGTATAAGGTTAAATTTTTCTCATGCTGATTTAGAAAAACGGTTAACTTTTCCCCATAATCGATAGCTGTTAGAATGGATTCGTCGCACGATGCCATGGCTGAACTCCAGACAAACAGACAATTCATTAGCAGGGGTCCAGAAGAAACTTGAAGAGTACCGCACTTACAGAAGAAAACATAAGCCCCCACGTGTTGAACAAAAAGCTAAACTCGAAACTAACTTCAACACGTTACAGACCAAACTTAGATTATCAAATAGACCCGCGTATATGCCAACTGAAGGAAAAATGGTGTCGGTAAGTTTTAATGTCATATTCTTTTGAAGATGGGAATATTGAAGTGTTTTTTGTATCATCTCAGGATATTGCGAATGCCTGGAAAGGTCTGGAAAATGCTGAAAAGGCCTTCGAAGAATGGCTCTTGTCAGAGATGATGCGTTTGGAACGTTTGGAACATCTTGCTGAGAAATTCCGACGTAAGGCGGACGCTCACGAAGACTGGACGCGCGGCAAAGAAGAAATGTTGCAAAGCCAAGATTTTAGACAGTGTCGCCTTAATGAACTCAAAGCCTTGAAGAAGAAACACGAAGCGTTCGAATCGGACTTGGCCGCCCATCAAGACAGGGTTGAACAGATTGCCGCAATCGCACAAGAACTAAAGTAAATTTTCTCAACTTAAATAATAACCGTTGAACTTGAAATTGAAATTATTATTTTTTGTTACAGCACTTTAGATTATCACGACAGCGTTAGTGTAAATGCTCGATGCCAACGTATATGTGACCAATGGGACAGATTGGGAGCTCTAACTCAACGTCGTCGTCAAGCATTGGATGATGCTGAAAGGATTTTGGAAAAAATTGATATTTTACATTTGGAATTTGCCAAGAGAGCTGCACCCTTCAACAACTGGTTGGATGGAACTCGGGAAGACCTCGTGGACATTTTCATCGTCCACACGGTTGAAGAAATTCAGGGATTGATTGACGCTCATGCACATTTCAAGGTGAACACTCATTAAGAACCAACAAAAAAAGGTCATGTAGTTATTTTGGTTTTCACATTTTAGGCTACATTAGGTGAAGCTGATAAGGAATATCAGACAATTGTTGGATTAGTCAGAGAAGTGGAAGCTATAGTCAAACAACACCAAATACCTGGTGGTTTGGAAAATCCTTACACTACTCTTACCGCACACGTGAGTTTTTCCATTGTTTATTACTAGTTAGACAGCAATATTCAAAAGTTTCATGTTTGTTGTACTTAATGTTGTAAGAGTTAATTACAAATTCGAGATTCATTTTTGACGCTTGTATTCCTTCTTATGCTGTCAAGGAAGGAATCAGTGGCAACTTAGAGGTAAAAATATGCATAATTGATGTCGGTGAACTACAACTGCCTGCGATGTTAATAAATAAAATAAAACGTTGATTTTACAGGATTTGACCAGGAAATGGTCAGATGTAAGGCAACTTGTGCCACAAAGAGATAATACACTACAAACAGAATTAAGGAAACAACAGAGTATCCTTTCAGTAGTAGTTGATGTTAAAGTGTTGTCTGATTTGAATGTTAGTTATTTTCCTTAATAATGATTAGATAATGAAATGTTGCGAAGACAGTTTGCTGAAAAGTCGAATGCTGTTGGTCCATGGATCGAACGTCAACTTGACGCTGTGACAGCTATTGGAATGGGTCTTCACGGTACCTTGGAAGACCAACTTCATCGTCTTAAAGAATATGAACAGGGCGTATATGCATACAAACCACACATTGAAGAACTCGAAAAAATACATCAAGCTGTACAAGAGAGCATGATATTTGAAAATAGGTAACGTGTATTAATCTTGGAATTCAATTTTTAATTTTTAAATATTTCCTTAATTGTATTTTTACAGATACACTCAATATACAATGGAAACCCTTCGTGTCGGCTGGGAACAGCTCCTAACGTCCATCAATCGCAACATAAACGAAGTTGAAAACCAAATCTTGACTAGAGATTCAAAGGGAATCACTCAAGAGCAACTTAACGAGTTCCGATCATCATTCAACCACTTCGACAAGAACAGAACCGGTCGACTAACTCCTGAAGAATTCAAGTCGTGTCTCGTATCTCTCGGCTATTCAATTGGCAAAGACAGGCAGGGTGACATCGATTTCCAGAGAATTTTGGCCGTTGTGGACCCCAACAGCACTGGATACGTACACTTCGACGCCTTCTTAGACTTTATGACCAGAGAAAGCACGGACACGGACACAGCCGAACAAGTCATCGACAGTTTCCGTATCTTGGCCGGTGATAAGGTAAGAAAGATGTGCTCTTTGTTTAAAAAAGGATCTTTAGTTTATTTTCGTGATAAATTAAAACGTATTACTACATTTAGAAATGGCTTATTTTTTTCTATAGTTTTGATTTCTTGTAATATGAATATATTATTTGTTTTCAGCCATATATACTGCCAGACGAATTAAGAAGGGAGTTGCCTCCCGACCAGGCCGAATATTGCATCCAACGTATGCCGCCATATAAGGGCCCAGGAGCAGCACCAGGGGCCCTAGACTACATGTCGTTTTCGACAGCTCTCTACGGAGAATCTGATCTTTAATCACGGTTAAAAAAGCACACACAAAATTTTAAAAAATGCGATAGGGGTGTGACATAATCATTACTTTCACATTTAATTCATATCGTTGCCTTTCTTTTAACTAAATCATATCGAATCATACTATATTGGCAGCCAAGAGAAATATCATTTTCGTATTTTTCGAATTAATTATTTGATCGATTGATAGATTGATTGATGAGGGCTTTTATTTTACAGATTTATTGGTTTAATTTTTTGTGGATGTTTCTGAATATGCTCAAAATCAAAGAGAAATTTCAATTTGTTTGTAAGGGGTACCGGTGGGTCTATTATTATAAGTTTAGATCCGTCCGGGTTTCAAAAAAAAAAAAGAAAATAAATCTCGAANAAGGAACCGCTTTCGGGCCAAAAGTCGCCGCGGCTGAGTGATAAAAGCCTTCATATATTATGTGACCGTAATATTTTCCACACAAAAGACCTTTATCCATTTGCTACCACATACATACATACTATTATTATAAGAGAGGTTTGGATGCTCAACAGTAATATTACATAATAATAATAATCGGCTTGTAAATACCTACTATTGATAATTAATTATGTACTACATATGTACGTGTTTTTACAGAATGCACTCTTGCTGTTTTTCTCCTAATTATTATGTATCAATCATTAGAGAACGATTTAAACGTCTTTTACTTTTTCTCTTTTTGTTATGTTATTAATTATTGTATGTACCGTGTATTATTATTATTATTATTAATTAATTAATTAATTGTGTATTTATTTCGATCTTTATTTTGTTCTAATTTTATTTTAAGGTTGTAGAAAGGGCAGCTGCAGCAGTCTGTTGTAGCAGAGAAGGTTGAGAAGTGTCATAACATCAATTATTTATAATTCACGATTATGCTGAATATAATTTTAAAATAATAGCAGTTTTTTTTTGCATAATTTACACGTGATAGGTGAGTATTCTATCAATACATATATACCACCAATACTTCTTGCAAAGTACTGGTATTAATTATTAATTATTTTGTTACTCATCTGGACTTTGTCACGATGAACTCTTAACGGTTTTTTTTTATTTTCTACATATACAGACACATATGCCTTTCAATTAACGCCCCTCACGATCAGACATACACGATATTAGGCGAAATGTTGGTTTCTAAGAACTCGTGAACATTTTCATGCAAAATTTTTGGTGATCAATTGTCCCGCATTCTTTTTTAATTGACGTAGAACGTAGAATTTTAAATTGTATGGTACATGTACCTGTGACCTATATAAATACTACTTCCAAAGTTCTCGGACTTTAAAGTTCTCTTCCCTCATGTACATCTAACGTTCTTCCTGTAGGTTTTTTGACTTTCTTCAGTGCGAATATTGAAGGATAGGAAAGGTTACATTTTATCTACATCTGAATTATATTTTTTCCTCTTTAAAAATACATACGTTATAATTTATTTTGTGCCCTTTCAAAGACATTAAATTTAATACTCCCAGGTTCAAATTTACTGTTACTAAGATTCGGTTTAATTTTTTTATTTTAAAGACATTACAATTTTAGTCTATATAAATTTATTTTATGAGTTTCTTTTAAAATCAGTAGGTATTATTTCATTTTGGTTTAGTTCTTGTTAATTTTTTGAAAACAACTATTTACAAATATAAGCAACACATTTTAATTATTTTACCTGAAATTAATTTTTTTCCGGCATTCCTACATAATGTAATTATTTATATACAATGGAATTGAATTAGTTGACAATGTTCTAGGTGAAAAGAAATAGTTTTTTTGAATAATTAGCAAATATTTTAAATCCTGTATGGTAAATGTAAGTTTGTATCAATTTGATTAAAGTAACATAGGCAACTTCTTAAACACATCATTATGTTGGTTGTCGCACTATGTACTGTAATTCAAAGGAAAATTGTTTCGGGAAATTGTTTACTTTTGAACGGTATAGATTTACCTTAGGGCTTATAACTATTAGTAAAAGTGTTTAAAAGTGCGTTTAAGTGTTGAATAAGTGTACAAGGATCGTTAACATTTAAAAGTTTGATCTTAAAACTTATTTTTGAGTATTAATCTGCTTTGTTTATTCTTTTTTGATTATTTTTTTAACAATATTTAATCTAGGTAGATGGCATTGTAATCAAAGCTTTTAACTTTGCAATGTTTAAAATATCACCAGATGCCGGGAACATGCAGAAACTACAATTATTTTATATCATCCACTATTTTTTTACGCGTGCTTGGTTTAAGATGTTGTTGCGGTTAGTGCGTTTGGTTTGGGTATATCAAAGTGGTGAAATCTGATAGTTTTTTGAATGAAGAGGGCCTAGTCTCAGTAGTAAGTCATTTCTTATACTATTTCTTACACTTAATATGAATTTGAACGATGCATTAATATAAAATTATAAATTAGGCGTAAGCTAAGTTGTTGGTGACCTTTAAAGGCATGCCAAGGGCGAAGTTAAGATATAGGTAATAATAGAACTGAAAAATTTAGTCATAAAAAGAGATTAGTAAGTTAATAAATGCAACATTATGTAATTAAAAAAACGTACCCATTCCATCATGCGCTTATTAATCGTATAAGTGTAATAAAACAATCGCTTTATTTTAAACAAAAAAATCTGTTCTTAAGAATCTAAAATTGGGCTTTTATAAAGGTAAAAGTGTAATAATTAAAGGAAAAACCAAAAGACAAGTAGACATATACCAGGGGTGGGGTAGTAATTTTAGATGGGGTCCGGTTACTTTTGAAAACTATTATTGAGGTTCAGAAAAAATTCCTATTCCTTATCAATTTTCTATTTTAATTTCCACTTAAAAAATAATATAAAATACAATAGTTAGGCATATTTTTATTCAATACTTAATGGGAAAAATTATATTTACGGACTTGAATTAGTTTCTTAATGGTATTTGCTTTTTAAAAAATTAATTTTTGAAAATTAAGATTCACAAATATATGTGAAGCCGAACATTTGGAATCATATGGATAGCAAACCAGTATTTTTATCCTTGATTCTCTTTACTACTCCCTCTCTTGCCGATTATTGCTAGGGCCTCATCAATTGATTTATACTCTACTTTATGATAACAAATGTTTGATTTTGTCATGAAGTCATCAAAAATCTTGCATAAATCTTCTCAAAGAGTCTTGCCTTTAAACGGCAGTACACATTGCTAACAATTTTTCTTTAAATGCTTTCTTTTCAATATCCAAAAATCGCACGAAAGCAGATTTTTCTTCTTCATCAACAATCTCACACGATTCATCAAATGTTATGGAATACCAAGGCGTCTTCTCTAGAAGTAAACTACTTTTATTGTCATCTTATAAAATTTCGGTTTTTCTTCTATTCCTTCTTGCTGATAATAGAGTAGCTTCAATTGGGGCAGCCGCAGCCACTTCGAACATACATTTTTTTACTACCTCAGAGTCTGAAAATGACTTCTGATGTTTATTTAACGTCAAACATACGCAACGCTGTTTCTGCAGATTTTTTTTACAAAGGAACCGCTTTCGGGCCAAAAGTCGCCGCGGCTGAGTGATAAAAGCCTTCGTTAGAGTTTTGAGCATAAAAATTGTGATTAAACGAAAGATTGCCACAAAAAATGCGCTTAAACGTATTGATATATTCAGAAAAATATTTTTTAAATAACTTATTTGAGTAATTAATACTTTTAATAAATTTTTGGCAGTCCAGCCATTAACCTTTTGCGATCCAGACCTACACTGCGGTCCTTCGGTTGCCGACCCTTGCTTTACATACATACCTTGGATATATCCAATTAACAGTTTATTGATTTTTTACCTCCTTAGTAAATATTGCTTAATAAAAGGTGGAGATAGTTTTCAAAATATTTTTATTAATTATAGCATTACTCGCGAGTAATTCCACATTAATTAACTTA